CAACTACAACTCATAAAGACCCTATGGCCAATGAATCTGAACTCTTCCTGATCCTCTGTTATCTTCATCATCTCTGATATACTTGAGGTGTTGTTTTTGTTGTTGCCATTGAGTCGAGCATGACTCATAGCGACCCTATGAACAAAAGACCTGAAGCCTATTAACTATCTTTTCTCAAAGTTCATAGAGTTTCCGGAGGCTTGTTGTTTAGGAAGTGGATGCCACTCCTGCTACTTGAGCTAATTGTTACAAATACTATGTCAGATCATCTTGCTCTCTTTTGCTGATCCTGTACCTTTCCAAGCATGATGTCTTTTGCCATGATAAGGGTTTCTCCAAGACATATTTATTTGGAGGGGTTTTTTTTGTTGTTTGTTTTCTCAAGTCCATGTGATATTCAGTAAACTTCTTCAACACAACTCAAAGCCATCAATTCTTATCCTGTCATCCTTAGTCATTATCTAACTCTAAGATATTTATCAAGTAATTGAAAAGGCTATGATTTGGATCAGGTGTACTTTCATCTTTAAACAGACTACTTTGCTCTTCAGCACTTTGGAAAGGTCCTTGACAGCAGATTTTCCTAATGTTTCACATCTTTTCTTTCTTGAGTGCTGGTATCAAGGGTGTTGAGTATTGACAAGTACGATAAAATTGTTAACAATTTCAATCTTTTCACTATCTATTCTGTTGTTGTCTGTAGGCCCAGTGGTGAGATTTTTGTTTTCTTGATGTTCCATACTGAAAGTCTTTGATTTTCTGCAGTAAAGGCTTCAAGTCTTCCTCACTTCCAGAAATCAAGATTTTATTTTCTAGAGGAAGAAATTCTAAAGGGGATTTTTAAAAAATATCTTTTGCTTTTCAGGCAATAGTCATTCAGTAGCATAATCCTTACTTTCTATGTTGGAGACTTGTCTATGCATCTCATGGTAACATCCAAGTCAAGAAATCAAAAGACATTTTGCATTGGAGAAATCTACTGTCAAAGATCCATCCAAAGTTCTAAAGAGCAAGGATATCTATTTAAAGACTAAGGTGCACCAGTCCAAGCCATGATATTTTCAATTGCTTCTTAAGCATTTGAAAGTTGGACAATGAATAAGAATCACAGAAGAATGAATGCCCTTGAATTGTGGTTTTTACAAAGACTATTGACTTTCTCATGTACAGACAAAATAACAAACCAGTCTGTCTTGAAGGAAATGCAACCAGAGTGTGTGTTCCTTAGATATAATGATGATGAAACTTTATCTCACTTACTAATGGCATATTTTCAGGAGGAAGTAGTCCTTGGTGAGAGAAATCATGCTGGACAAGGCATAGGGTCAGAAAAAAGAGAGAAAGATCTTTGATGAGATGGATCAACACGTGACTACCACAAAGGGCTTGAGCAGGATAGAGATTGTGAGGCTGATACAGGATAGGACAAGCTTCAGATCTGTTGTTCATAGGTGACTTCACGGCACCTAACAACAACTTGCATCTCATAGGCAGCCATCACCCGCTGGTCAGTGGAGTCTTTAATACTGCTATGATACTGAACAGGTTTCAGTGGAGAATCTAGGGGAAGACGAGCAGGGACAAACAACCTGACTATCCACTTTTCAAAATCAGTGTATTAAAACCTTATAGAATACAGGAGTCCAATTCACTACCTATCACGACAACCTATCTGGGCTCAATTGAGCAGAAGTGGACAGAGTTTTGTTTAGATGTTCATGGTATTGCATGAGTTGGAGCCAACTCAATGGCAGCTAAACACAATCTATTTTTTTTTTTTTGCTGTAGATAAATAGAGCAGCATGGATAGAGCATGGTCCTGGGAAAGATGCCCAGAGTTCAGAAAAAGGTGATGGAGACACAGATCTTTCTGATTCGACAGGCAGTAAAGAAGCAGCAGTAATGATAGCAAATTTTTATAACACTTGATGTGCTCCAAATGTTCTTCTGTAGTTTTACATATTTTATCTACTATTCAAAATGATTCTGTGTAGTTAATTCTATTATTATCTTCATTTTGCTCATGGGATATGGAGGCACAGAAAGATTAAAGAACCTACTCAATTTATCTTCTTAGTGCACTAAACAAATATATTTGAGCTCATAAAAGAATATGCAAATATGGACACCAGCTTCAGTAGATGCCGAGAGATACAAGTGATGGGTGGTGACGTTTTCCTGTGGAAATATGTGTTTGCAGATTTTTTGCAGTATTAAGAAGCTAAGGGCTAGGCAAATTTATTGCTTCATTAAAATCATTTGAATCTTTACCTTTTTTGGAAGAAAGTTTTGTTGTGAATATCAACCAAGGGTTTGAGTTTGCTGTAGGAGAACTTTATTAAAATAAATGTAAATTAAAATTTTGACCAGTTCATGGTAGCAATAAGGGATAGGTGAGGACAGGATAGAAAGTGAGGGAAACAAATACCATCCTGATCACCTAGGTGAATGTCTACCTCATTGCCATCCAGTCATAGCAGACTCAGAGATTGCATTGGGTTGGTAAGGCTGTAGATCACATTGGAGATTGCCCATATTTCTCCTTTGGGACCTCTGGTGCATTCCGACCTCCAGAGAGATTTACATTTGGAGTAGCAGCACTGCTCCCTACAGACTACAGCACCAGAGTTGAATGGCTTTTGAAATTACGTTCAGAGGTTTGTTAAGTGCAATTTAGGAAAAGCTGGGTGAACTGTTGTATTTGTAGTACATTATTTATTATGATTGCTTACACTTCTCCTACTTTGATACAGATCACTCAACATAGGTGGTGTTGGTGTTGGTGGTGGTTGAGTACTGTTGAGTCAGAATCAACCCATAGCTGACCCTCCAGTAGTTTTCAGATGCAGTTTATCACATGAGAGGAGACTGTCCATCTTACTCCCACGGAGCTTCTGGTGGATTTGAACCACGTGCTTTCAGGATCGCAGTGCAGTTTCTTACTACTAGGCCATCTGAGCACCAACATAGGGGGCATTATTTGATGTTTAGAATTATAATTACAAATTGATGAAACTTTCACTCAAAACATGTTCATTAGCACCAAACAGTAATCTAAAATAACATTTTCAAAAATTTGTTTCATGTATTTATTACAAATTATCTATTGCTCTGCATGAGTTGTCCCTCTTTACCTTTATAAAAGCCTTCGAGAAGGCTCACCATCACCTGATTTTACATTTAGGACAATTTCCGTGTCTAAGAGCTAAGCAAGATGTAAACCAGGCGGTATTAATCCAGAGCTTAGACAGCTAGCCAGCCCTCTGTGCTATACGAGAGATAAATGGTGCCATGAGTTCCCTAACTCTTTCAGAGTTGACTCAGGACTGCCTCATCCCCATGGGGCAAGATTTTGGTTTTAACAAGCACAAACCAAAACACTCTAAATACTCTTTCTTGCAGCTGTTTGGGGATACAGACTAACAAACTTGAACTCATTGTCGTCCAATTGGAACCAACCAGCTTGTGAAAAATCAGTATTATACAAAAGGGCAATCTAGTTTTAGGAGAAAGTTTCTTGTATCTTTGCCTTGCCTGAATAGGCTTTAAGACTATTTTTGATCCTAAATCATAAAATAGTACAACAACAACAACAAAAACAGTACAACAAATATTATTTCAAATGACAAACTACCTTATTTCTTCCAATATAAAAGGAATTGGTACTTGTTTATACTTTAATTTTCAGTATTTGTGAGCTGAAATTATAGGTGAAGAAAGTCTTGGTTAGCCATGGGATGACTCTTGGAGAAATGAACTTGACCAGGCTCATCACAGTGGGTTTCATCCATATAGTTAATGTGCATGATTGCTGTGCCCACCTCTGGGATACACAAGCAAAGACAAATACTGCCATCACTGATTACATCTCATGGAGTTATTAATGTGATGAAGGAGGCATAATTTAAATAAATTCATCAAAACTTAATTGCTATTAAATAGGATTTTAAAAACTCAGGCATTCGATTGATTTCTAGTTAACTATAGTAAGTTAAGCAACTCTGAATGCTAGGCAGTGCACCAACATCTTGCTAAAACATGCAAAACCCCTTAGAATCAAGGTATTATAAGCGAGCTGAAAGAATGACTATGTATGAACAAGACTGGTGTCTTATGAAACACACTGCCTTTGGGTAGATTCTGACTCTACAGGGTTTCTGAGGTTGTAAATTTTTACAGGAAGCGATTTCCCACCTTTCTCCTGTGAAGCAGTAGTGGATTTGAACTGCTGAGCTTTTGGTTTGCTGTCCAGCATGTTGCATACTACGTCATCAGAGCTCCATGGCTTATAAAATATAGTTTAAAATACTGGATATGTAGAAGAGGGAAACATCTCAACGATGTTGAATAGCCTCATACTTTAGATATGACTTGATAATGTTTGTTTATTGCTATAGTTTAAGAAACAGATGCAAACACTGATCATTGGGACCTTAGGTAAGATAATGTTAAAGACGTCCACATGCAGAAATGCACATTAAAGAAACACACTGCTCCTCTGCCCCTTTTGTTTCTGCTGTGCTGACCAGAAAACCCATAAAGGTAAACATCCTGAGGATGGCTGTGAGAACTGCACTCCATGTCAGCGAGCTCTTCAAGCCTGTTTTTCCCCTTACAGTTTTATTTCTCCAGACACAACCCCAAAGTTAAGAGATCTTCTAGCATACTGAAACCTTTATTAAACATTTTGTTTTGTGTTTGATATTAAAACCGGGTGAAAGTTCTTAGGTAACAGTTTTATTTTAAACGTTAATCCATAGTAATTATTCCCCATGAACTCAGATTGTATGAAATTACGCTTTTACTCCAACTATGTAAGTCCCTGGAAAATTCATAACGTGAAATATATACCCTTTTGGATTTTCGAAAGAATGTGTCAATGTATCCCTGCACTTATGTGAGCCCTGCGGTAGTGGCACATGAATGGTGGTTATTTTTAAATCCTGATAATTGTTTTGCCTTATCAACTCTTTACTTTCTTTCCCCTTATTTCTCTCCAGGCCCAGTTTGAACTTAGAGCCTTTCACATCCGGGGCGAACACGCCGTGATCACAGCGAAACTAGAGGAAACCATTAAGAATCTTAAGCATGAGTTAGAGCACCGATGGCGAGGAGGGTGTGAAGAAAGGAAAGATGTGTCCATCTCCACCGATGATGACTGCCCTCCGAAGACCTACAGAAACGTATGCATTCAGACAGACAGGGAGACCTTCCTCAAACCTAGTGAAGGTGAAAGCAAGACAATGAGAAGCAACCAAATAGTACCCAAAAAACTGAACATCTCCTCTTTAAGTCAGCTTTCTCCCCAAAATGACAATAAGGACATCCATTCCCAACTGCAGTCTATGGAAAGCATCTCAACTAATCAGCCGAAGGCAGCGCCGCCCCTTCCTGTGCCACCCCTGTCAGCACCTATCCCTCCCCCTCCACCTCTTCCCCCTGGACTTGGACCTTTGCCACCAGCACCTCCTGCACCATCTGTGAGTGCTGAGATGCTCCCACCACCGCCTCCACCACCGCCCCTACCTCCAAGTGCTGGGCTTCCCCCTCCACCGCCTCCACCTCCACCGCCTAGTTTATCTGCTCTGTCTACCAGTGGGGCTCCCCCTCCTGCTCCAGCGCTCCCAGGACTAGCACCTCCACCACCTCCTGGACTCTTCTTTGGAATTGGGTCTTCTTCCAGCCAATGTCCCCGGAAGCCAGCCATCGAACCGAGCTGTCCCATGAAGCCTTTGTATTGGACGAGAATACAAATAAGTGATAAGAGGTAAACTAAGTTCCCCTGGCCCTTTCACAGCTGCCGAATTCTCAGAATTTTTCCCCAAGAGACATTTTATTCCTCCCAGCTCAATATTCACTCGTTGAGTGAGTGCTTTGGATACACATGGTTGGAGTATGCCAGGGATAATGTCTATCTCGATCCCATTTTCTCCTTTTTTCATTATATGTTTAGTCTTAGATCCTTCTGTAAGATAAATGTTCCGTTTTATGAGCTAGATCAAAGTGAAGGCTTAATGGATGCCTTCTTCAAAATCTCTGCATTTAGTAAGTAATTATAAACAAATTGCACCCAAATCTATGTGACCAACTTATTGAACATTATTACAGTATCTCTTTGTGGTTCATTGTCTTTCGATTGTGATGTCATCAGTGCTATGTGCAGGATATATAACAGATATATGTGTAATTTTCTTTTTTTTAACTGAATGAACCAGGCATGGCCAAGCAATTAACTTTACAAGATAGAGGATAGTTTTAAAATATAAATTATTTCCACTTAAACTGATTCCCCTAATTGCTAAATGCACTTTAGGCCCTTTATTTCTTCAGAGAAAGTGTTGATATATATGCATAGCCAACAAGCATTTTACATTTGTATAGGTTTTTAAATTGGATGTGTAAGGTATCAAGATACATGGTTGTTTGGAAACTTGTGTTCAAATTAGACCTTTAAACCAGTTTGGTCCAGTTTAAGCCCTCCTCCTCCTTCTTTTTGAAAATTTGTGTTTCCATTCTGTTGCGGTTGTGTACCACAGAACTGGAGACGACCCATAGTTGACCATCCAGCACATGGGAGGAGATTGTCTCAAACTGTGTGCCTTTGGGATTGCAGCATAGCTTCTTGCCACCAGGCTACCAGAGGTCTGAACTTCCACTCTGGATATACTCTTGATATCTAGAGACTTCCACTCTAGATATACTGAATCTACAATTTAACAAGATCTGCAAGTAGATTCAAATTCAGTATTTTTTGGTTTAAATGCAAATTTTCGGAACCAGAATTAAGTGGCTCAACATCCTGACTCAAACTTATTTGCATCTGATTTATTCTGCCTCATTTCTGTGTCTGATGGGAAGACAATTGAAATATATTGAGTTGCTTTGTGGCCACTTGCTAGTTGTAAAGTTTATTCATTTGCAATGAACAACAAATAGAGAACATATTTTTACACACCCATTTTTAAACTTACTCTCCAAATCAAGGTGTGGAAGTAAATTTTTTCAATCTATGTAAAACTTTCCTTGGGGGCAGGAAGAATATTGAACAAAATAACATGCAATTGACAATTATAGAACAACTGGAAATCATTATAGGAGTGGGAATACCTTAACACTAGATGTATTGTGAACTAAGTTGATTATGCATATGCATCCCCTTTTCTCTTACCAAAAAGAAAGAGTTTATTTGTGGAAAATCTTGATACTTTTTAATTTCCCAGAAGAATGGCATAAAAAACAAACAAACACACACACACACACACACAAAAAAAACCAAACAAAAAAAATACAACCCAAACCACAAGATGATCTTGAAATCGCTCCCACTATTAACTAAAGCATTAGTATACCTCTTTTCCTGTTCAAAACTCTAATGACACTTTTCCAGAAAGAATTTCACAGATATTTATTTTGAGTCATGTTCCCTTATTAGTGTTCTCAAATTAGTGTGCAGTCAGTCCGATCTGATAGGTTCCACCTGTCAGCCCTCGATTCGAGGATTCTACAGCATGGAGCAGTCCCACACCTGCAGCCCGCTAGGCCGTCCGCACTCTAGTACTCTTGAGACCTCATGCAGTGAACACTGTAGACCACAGCAACTATGTAATAGTCCCTCTGGGACATATGGGCCCTTCTCCCCATATTCAGTGTGCTAGAGAGGCAAGCTGGAGATAATTAATCACCGTCTGCATTTCCCCTTCTTTACGTGGCTTGCCATTTTGAGAAGGGAAACAATTGAATACTCAAACTCTTAATTGGTTTCACCTAAGACATCACCATTGTGCAAACTGAAAAGTAGATGAATGTGCATAACCTTCCCAGCCCAGGACATCAGGAAAGCCAAGCTTAGTGAACATGTGGTGAACCGTGAGTCTGAGTTTGTAATATTAGAATAGTGAGATTTCCTTACTTCATTTATGAAGACTTTGACATGTCCTCTTCTTGCCATATATAATACCTGGATTATTATGAGTCCTCACAATATTTTACACCTGTAAGCACTGCTACTTCTTTTCAATTTCATTGATCTACAGATTCTGGGTATTATTAATTTATGGTATTATTCATTCAAAAAGTAAATGTAATTTTGCCATTGAAAGTAGGTAAAGTGATGGTTAATGTTTCATACACCCAAAGGGTTAAACATTTTGTATAATGGTCACATATGTTTCGACCTTCTGGAGACCAGGAATAACGTACTGCTTTCATACATTTAGACCACATTTCAAGTTTTATCTTTTATCTAGAATACTTATTATTTAATTGAACAAAAATAAATCCTCACAGACAGGTTCTTTACTTCCTAGTTAGTATTTTCTTCTTTTTCCTATCCATATTCCTCCTCTTCCAGACGTCCTTTCTTCTTTTTTCACTGGAGCTAGAACGCTACATTCAGTGTTCAGAAAGCAGTTGACCGTTATGCCAGATTCCCCATCATCAGAGGTGTTTGGTATTGCCCCACCAAATGCCAGCTGCCCCCAACTCACTCACGGAGAGATGGTCCTCCCGAGGATTTTGTTTAACCTTAGGAGTAAGCACAGAAACAGTTTTATAAATAATAATGAGGTGCTCAACCTGATTCCAAAGCCAATTTATTCCAGATGATGAATGAATTGTAACACTAGTCATACTGGCATAAAAGCTGGGGCCAAGAAGTACAGGTGCGTGAGCACTGGGACAGGCTCAAGCAGGCTGTTCTGTGAATAGCATTATCACTTTCTGCACATCTACTCCTTAGCTGCCAGGAACATTCATGAGCTCAGACTAACAGCTCTTACCATATTCCTAAATTAACCATCTCTCTTTCCCATTCAAAATTTACCTTCTTCAGTGATGTTTAAGTTATTTTTGTTGCTATGGGCTGTTGAGTCACTTAGGACTCATAGCGACCCTTTGTACAACAGCCCTAAACCCTGCTCTATCCTGTGCCAGTCTCACTGCCTCTGACACACCTTCCCCCATTATCCCTATCACTGAATCAGTCCATCTCATAGAGGGTCTTCCTCCCCTGTGCTGCCCCTCCACTCTTCAAGGACTGATCCCACCTTGCAATGTGTCCAGAGTATGTCTGACGAAGCTTCAGAATTCTTGCCTCCAAAGAACAGCCTGGCTTCACCCTGTCCAGGATGAACTTGTTTGTTCTCCTAGCAGTCCATGGTATATTCAACACTCTTCTCCAGCACCACAGCTTGAAGGCATAAATTCTCCTTCTATCATCAGGGAAATCCATGTTGTTGTTACATTAATACCCCATGTTCAGTCTGTTTAAAAATATTCCATCAATATTTGAAAATTGGTTCTCTTTTTTGGGTTTACTTGATGCCTCTTTTTGTCATCATGGAAATGCAGACAGAAGTGTGTGTGTGACCTCCATAGTCAGAATCCTAGGATGTTTTGTCCCATGGAATTTTCTAGATCTCTTTCATTGATTATATCTACTGACCTCTGTGTTTTATGAATGCATGTTTTCTTAAAATTTCTACAGTAAATTTTTACTTTTAAAAAGAAATTTATAATGAGAAAAGATACTTTTTCTAAGTGCCATTAGGAATTGATGTGTTTTTAAAAATGAGTTGGAAAAAAACTTACTATGCGGTAGTGTCTCCTATTTGGGGTCTTAAGCGTATCTTATTATTTTTTTTCTTAAGCCAAAATGCAACACCAACGTTATGGGATTCCTTAGAAGAACCTGATATCCGGGATACTAGTGAATTTGAGTATTTATTCTCCAAAGACACAACTCAGCAGAAGAAAAAACCCCTGTCAGAGACTTACGAGAAAAAAAACAAGGTCAAAAAGGTATTGAATGATTATAATAACAGTTGTAATTATATGTCATTTTTTCCTATATGGGAATTCATTATGTGCTCCTAGTTTATTTTCTCTCTGTTTTTAGAAAAAGTTTTAAAAGTTTTTGAGTCATAGTGGTACAAAGGAACACTGAATTTTGAGATTACATTGAGAATTTTGCATATGCTAATTAGGTGATTTCACTTGAATTTCCATAGGATTTTCTTAATTTAATTTTAGTTTAGCCTTTGTATAGTCATTTATTACAGAAGGAAAAAAATATACAATTTAACTTCTATTTGGGGAAATTAGTCTCTATATGGAAAATAGATCTTGCTCATATATTTATAAGTTTACTCACTTAACAAATATCAGATTTATTTTTGCTAGGCATTCTCAGCATTTCTTAAGCTGAAGGCACTGAAAAAACAAATTCAGGTGACTCAACGACACATAACAGCAACATCAATACTTAAGGATGCTTTGGATAGAATATTAAATGATCCAGGAAGCATTAAAAAAAAAGACAGAGTATACTGAGTCATTGTACCAAAGGAAAATGGTAGACACAGAAGAATTTCACAAAACAGTGTGGTGAGGAAGAAGTTTAAGCTGCTCTGAAAGAATTGGCAAAAAATAAGGCCCTAGGAATTGATGGCATACTGATTGACATATTTCAACAAACAGACGCTGCCCTGGATGTGCTCACCAAGTTGTGCTAAGAAATCTGGAGGACAGTCACCTGGCCAACTGACTGGAAGAGATCGATATTTGTTCCCATTCCAAAGAAAGGTCATCAGACAGAGTATGAAAATTATTGAACAGTATCATTTAAATCACATGCAAACAATATTCTGCTGAAGATTATCCAAAAACAACTGGAACAGTACATCAACAGAAAACTGAATTTAGGAGTGGATTTAGAAGAAGTGGATTTAGTGGATTTAGAAGAGTCTGTGGCACTAGGGATATTATAGCTAATGTTAGATGGATCTTGGCTGAAAGCAGAGAGTACCAGAGAAATATCTGTGGTTCATTGACTATGCAAAGACCTTTGACTGTGTGTGGATCACAATAAGCTGTGGTTGACTCTGAGAAGAATGGGAATCCCAGAACACTTGATAGTGATTATGTGAAACTTATACTTGGACCAGAAGGCAGTTTTCAGAATAGAGCAAAGAAACACTGCCTGGTTCAAAATTGGGAAGGGTCTGCTTCAAGGATTTCTCTTATCTCCATATCTTTTCAGTCTATATGGGGAACAGATTATCTGCGAAACTGGACTCTATGAGAAGTGTGGCATCAGGATTGGAGGTAGTCTCATTAACAATATGCTTTATGCAGAAGACACAATCCTGCTTGCTGAAACTGGGGAGGACCTGAAGCACCTGCAGAAGGTTAAGAACTGCAGCCTTCAATATGGGTTGAAGCTCAACATCAAGAAAACAAAGATTCTTACCAGTGGTCCAATTGGCAGCATCATGAAAAATAGTGAAGATATTAAGATTGTTGACAGTTTATGTTTGCTTGGCTTTACAACCAACACTCTTGGTACCAGCAGCTAGGAAATGAAAAGACAAATTGCAATGGGTAAGTCTGTCAGAGAGGTCTCCAAAGTACTGAAGAACAATGATGTCAGTCTGGAAACTAAAGTGTGCCTGATACAGACCATGGTCTTTGCAATTACTTGCTATGCATCAGAGGGGGACAGTGACTAGGGGTGATAGAAGGAGAGTTAATGCCTTTGAGCCTTGGTGCTGGAGAAGAGTATTGTATATACCACGGACTGTTAGAAGAACAAACAAGTTTGTCTTGGAGAGGGTGAAGCCAGGCTGCTCCTCAGAGGCAAGGATTCTGAAGCTTCATCTGACATACTTTAGACATGTTGCATGGTGAGATCAGTCCTTGGAGAGGGAGGTCATGCTTGGGAGGGTGGAGGGACAGCGCAGGAGAGGAAGACTCTTCAGTCACTGGGGTAATGGGCATAGGTGTGTTGGAGACAGTAAGTTTGGCAAGGGATAGAGCAGGGTTTAGGGCTGTTATGCATAGGGTCGCTCTGAGTCACAGGTGACTCAGCGACACATAACAGCAACATCAAGGCATTATTCTAGGCCTTCACTATCTCATGTAATAATTACTAGTCACATGTGATGATTTAAATTTAAATAATAACATTTCAGCCCATCACTTGCACTACCTACATTTCAAGAATTGTTCTTGTGACTACTGAATTCTGTATTAAGTAGCGCAGATGCAAAACATTTTCGTCATGTGCTGCTAACACAAGGCCCAGGCCTGTCTGGTGGTTCAAATCCACCATGCCTCCTCGGGAAACTAATGGGCATTCTCTTTTCATGTGATTTACAGCTTTGGAAACCCAACAGAGGATAGACTGCCAGTCAGTTCTAACCGGACAGCAATGATCTAAGCATTTGAGTGTATTTATGACATAAAAAAAAGTAGTAAATAATCGAGTGAATAAGGGTAAGGAGGATCAGCTTGGGGTGAGTAAAGATGAGGGAGATACATTTTTAAATTAAGTATTCACGGAAGGTCTCTTTGAGAATTGTCCACAAAGATGTGATGGCTCAGTATTTGAGAACCATCAGCTCAGAGAGCAGGTTGAAGATTCTCAAGGATTTAGAACTGAGGTTAAGTCGCTATTCTACAACTTACTTCTTGTGAGACCTGAGTATCATTCTTTCATTCTCTGTGTCCTAGTCCTTTAACCATAACATAAAATGCTGTCTATTCATACTGCTATTCTAAGTGATGATTAAATGGAGTTGTATAAATGCCACCTTCAGCATAGTTTTTGGCATCTAGTCAGCCTTCAACCAATAATAGCTGCTCTTGATTTCGTTTTTGTTGTTGCCACTGGTGTTCTTTCTTTGAATTAGTGTTTTGATAGATGGATTTGATAGATGCAGAGCTACAGGAAAACATAGTTCTGCTCCTGTCTTGCTGTGTGAACCAATCTTTTTTCTCTAGACTATGACATTTTCCTTTTTCTGTAAAAGAGGATTAACAATATCTGAGTCTCCCTGAAGCACCGGAATGTTGAGAAAGTCAAATCCATAAGTGTTTGAGGAAGTGCTTTGAAGTTTATGGTTTCCATTAATACTTACCTCTTAAATCATACCATGGGAATTCATTGCTTGGATGATCCCTCAGTTACTTCTATGTTAATGAAGGCAATTGCAAACTTACAGTGAAAACATAAAAACCCCAAATCCAAATGAAATTTTCTACTAATCAAATCAGAACTTCCCATTGATTTGAATTACGAATGAAAATTTGATCAATGGTTTGTACCTTTCAAATTTATTTGGATTGGATTTTTACAAGGAAAATATGATCTCAATAATAATTAAATATTAGAACAAATATTTGAAGATCCCATGTATTTCACAAATTTGAGTTTTTCTAATGAAACAGTAAGATACAGTCAAGAAGTTAAGTGAGAAGAGATTCACATAAGATGGGGTTGAGGGTGCCTTGTAGTGAAGCTCACTTGTTAAAAGCCATCAGTAGGGAAAGAAGATTATCTGAAGAAAAAAGGGAGACTCTGTCTTCTAAAGCCCGCCTTTTCCAAGAAGACTTTTGATTAATGAGAAATGCCACTGAATGTTTTCTTATGCGGTATCACAGTGAGCTTGCTTTCCCCCCTCTGGTCCTCCTTTGAGTGTTGGTATTCCCTCTATTTCTCTTTGAATGCATGGTAACATGCTGCTTACTCACAAAACTAATTATTTCTGTTTTGATGAATGAGTATTTGGTTTAAAAACATACAAGTATTTGTTCTTAAAACATCAAAGGACTTGGTTATTTATTCTTATTTTTTATCTCATAATTGTTTGCCTGTTAAACAAAGGATTTAACGAAAGCAATTAGTGCTTCATGTGTTTATTTTGTTTCTCTGTCTGAGGGGGGAAAAATACCCTTCATGTGAACTCCCAAATCTTACTGAGCAGTAAGGTTTCTCTGTAGAGTCTATGTGCATGTGTAATCCTTTTTAAAATTTTTGAAGTGAGGACAGAAATCTACTGGATGAATTGTGCATTGCCATTACGAGGCTGCTTACAGTTTTCAGTGAATTCTATAGCCTACCTTAAGGCTGATGTTTTAGATTTTAACGAAAATGATGAATCAACACCATAAAACTCCAAACTCCCTCCTATGAACTTTCACTATGTGGTGGCCAGATTTTCAACATCAAGATTAATTCTGAGGGTCCGATGTTTGTTTTCTTTTCCCTTGAAATGAAAATGAAAGTGAATTTTTCAGGTTATAAGCAGCTAGCCCCCCCCCCCACTTTCTTTCTGTCTCTGTCTGTCTCTCTCACACACACACAGTCTTTGACTAGGAACCAACTCATAACTAACTCTTCATTGGGTTTCTGAAGCTTAAACAGAAAATGGTTCCAGTCTTAGATGATTAGGAAAGCATGTGGCAAATAACCTTTGTCATATGTTTTGTTTGCTTGTTCAATTTTTAAATGGCCAAGTAGAGAAAGAACTATCTATGTTAGAAATGACAAAATCCCACTTTTTGAATCTTGGCTACAGGAACTCAGTCAACATTGAAGGATATATGTGCACATACTTAAATGGAGCCAGACATTATCCTTCTGCTCATTCCACATTTTTACTTCATAAACAACTATAATTGCCACTGGCATGCTCAAGATTCTACTGAAGTTGTGTACTGTTTTAAACTTCTCTAGTAGTGTTTAACGTTACCATTATTGGCCTTGACTTAGAGTAACCCTGTCAGGGAAATAGCTATGACTGCCTTGCCTTCCTCCATAAGGATGTTCTGCTAAACCAAAGGGTGCACTTCTCCAGAGATTCAAGTCCTCCAGCAGTTCCCAAGGAGAAAGATAGGTAATCTCGCCCCATGCGATCTACAAGCCTGGGATCCCAGTGAAGGGTCAGTTATGAGTTGGCTCCTACTTGATGGTAATGAGTTCTGAGTGGTAACACTCTCTTACTAGCCAAAAGATGGGG